CACAGTTAATTTCACACTCTGCTGCCCAAACCAGGATAAACCTTTAGAAAAACCTCCTCAGAAATTTGGGTATAAAAGGAGGGAATTATACATCTCAGAGGAGCTGAAATCCATATGGTATGACTGATTGCTTATCCACAAGGAACCACCCGCTTCTCCTGGGGCCCATCTTGACCTGGACGTTCTGTGTTATTTTAGAGCTGCTTCCTGCAGGGACAGCAGACAATTGTTTTTATTCTGGTTTGACATAAAAAGCTGTAATATTAGAGGAGAGCTCTTAATGTGAGAGTGATAAGCAGGGGCTTATGGAATGAACCTGTGTGGTTCTCTTTAGCGATTTCTGTAAGAAAGAAGTTCCCCTAATCCTAATGCAAGTATGCAAGTAGATCAGCCTCCACCTTCCATAGCAGCCCCAGGGACATGGCCTGAACAGAAGTAACATTCCTTCTAGCTAGAGCCACGGTCTCCTGACTCCCTCAATCTTTGAATTTAAGGGAAGTGTCCAGCACAGGATGACTCAGTTTCTCCCTACTAAAGTGTAATTCCTAATCCTACAAATCAACTTGCAAAAGAAATACTATCTAGAGCAGGTTGCATTTATCTAATTACAACAGTAGGTCTTTAAAAATAACTTAAACTCCAAAGACCAAGAGGTTTTAATGAAATGAGTCCAAGTAAGCAGTTTTTTTCAGTTCCACATCAAGCTCTTAGCTTGACACCCTTAAAGTGCAGGGTTCTCAGGGGATCCCAAAGCCCAAGTGAGCCTCCCATGATGGCTCACTAATTCCCAAAGTGAGACTCAGGCCTGGGGAAGAGAGCTCAGTAATTCCAAGTCTGTTCTATCACACATTTTTTTTTTTTCTCCAGTGGTTGGTATCTAGGGACTGTGTTGCAAAAGGAAAAGCTAATTTACTATAAAACATTTAATAAAGAAAAGAAAACAAAGAAAATCCTCTTTTAATCACATTGCATGCTCAAGTTATCATTCATGGTGTGAATTGCTAAATGGAAACCACAGACAAGAATGTCTTAAATTTTTTCTTTATGGAAACAAAAGAGAGCTATTCAATTTTTTTTTTTTCCCCAGTAAACATCTAATCAGTGTTCTGTTCAGTATTCACCAGGCACTGGCCAAGGCATTGGTGATACAGTAAAGAAAGAGGTTTGCTCTCTGACTGCCAGCAATGCATATTGCCCTCCGGAAACCACCTGTGTAGTTTCCTTTAGTATCCAACAGAAAAAGCAAATACAAAATAAAAGGACAGGCACAATATTGTGGACTCCCAGAATCATAATAAAGACATTGATGATAGGGGTTATGATAAGATATAATGTGATAGTTGCATTTATTAATTCAGTTAAGTGATTTAAATGTACTATTGACTCTTCACAATTCTTTGGGAGAGATGCTTATCTCCTTTAATAAATTTGGAGATTGAGGCATGCAAAAGAGGGCATGGTCAACTGGATTTGGAAAAGGCAAAGAGACGTCACAGAGTAACATTATTTAAGCCCAAAGCTGGGAGGATGAATGGGATTTAGATAAATGGAGGATGGCAAAGGGAGAAAAGGAAGGAAGGCAGTCTGAGCCTAGGAAACAGCACAAGATAGAAACAAGAGGTCATAAGCAAAATTAGAGGACCAATTGTGCTGAGAATGGAGAAAGGGTGGCATTAAAATGGATAAAGAAAATGTGGGGCATATACACAATGGAATACTATTCAGCCATTAAGGCATGGAATCAGGTTGTTTTTTGACAACATGAATGGGCCTGGAGGACATCAGATCAAGGGCCATGAGTCAAGCACAGAAAGACAAGCACCACCTGATCTCATGAATAAGTGAAATCTACAAAGGCTGATCTCATTGAAGTTGAGGGTAGAGTAGTGGCCACCAAACACTGGAAAAAATAGTGGCAAAAGAAGAGAGGGTACAATGTTATTGTAAGATAGGAGGAATAAGTTCTGGTATTCTGTGGCACAGCAGAGTCGATATAACTAACCATGAATTAGGCATTATATACCTTAAGATGGTTAGGAGAGAGGAAACTGAATGTGCTCACCATAAAGAAATAATATAAGTTAAGGTGATGGACATGCAAAGTCCCCTGAGTTGATTTCTACCCAGTGCAGATGTGAGTCAACCATTACACTGAACCTCAAAAATATGTACAAATATAATAAGTACAATAAAATAAAAATATTTCCAGGATTTAAAACATGGAAGGTGGTATCACATGCAGAGCAGGCTTCAACAAACACCAATTGTAGGTTAGGTGAGTGAATAGATCTCTGGGCTCTAGCCACACACTTTTACTTCTACTGGGCTTCATTAATTGATATTCTCTTTTTTACTTGTGCCAAAGGAGTTTTTATTGTAATTTTTGATCTCTTAGCCTGTTTCCTTTCCTCCTTCCCATAAACAGAAAGAGAATGCAATCACAGCTGAACAATAGTCTGGCACACCAAACAAAAGCTTGAAAGGTGAGAAAAGGAAAACATTTATCTTGTCATCACATCAGCAAAACTGAATCCAAGCTGCCACACAGCAATGGCTTGGAAACTGGGGGGAAACTAGGAGGGAACATGAAAGATAAAAAAATTTATTTTATCTGCTCCTTTTATGAGCATCTACTTTGAGTCCCCTCTTCATTTCCACTGTCTTTCCTAACTCGGCCAACATAGCGCTAGGATTACTATTTTACACCTGAGAAAAGTTATACTCCTGAACACAAAATTCTTGCCAGAAATCATGGCAGTTAGTAATAGCAGATTCAAGTTTCCAAACACTGTCTATCTGACTCCAAATCTTGTATTTTTTCCATTATGATATGTTGGCTTCACTCAAATTAACAGTCATTCACCTGTAATAGTACATGTGAGTATTTATATATATATCTATATTACGTACAAGTATAGATGCATATATGTATATAATTATACACATATAAATTATACCTATAATGTATATATAATATGATATGAATATTTAATACTTAAAGTATTGTTTTCTGAAACCATGAGTGGGTTTTGAGTTAGCTAAGCTTTGTGATCTCATTACAAGTTTTCATATGTAAGCACTTGAGAAAGAGTAATGAGTAAAACAGATAAATTACTGGTGCTATTTACCATAATATACTGGTTTACTAAATGAGAAGTATAAAAACAATTGTAAGTACTACTCAAAATACTCAAACTATGATGGGGCTGGGGCTCAGTGGTAGATCTTTTTCCTCGCATATGTGTGGGGCACAGGGTTTGATCTTCAGCATCACATAAAAATAAATAAAATAAAGGCATTGTGTCCACCTATAACTAAAAATATATTTTTTTTAAAAAAATACTCAAACCATGACAGATTTGTAGTACTTTTAACCATGGTCTTAAAGTTAAAATGATTAATCTTTCTTTTTGTGTGTGTTGCTTGAAATAATAGTTTGTTTATTGTTCATGTAAAATCCAAAGAAGGGAAGGTCTGCTCTTGTGCAACAGTGATGGAGGAACTCAGGCTCCTTCCCTCTTGTAGTTCTGATGCTGGGTCTGAGGTCTTAGAGTCCTTAGTACCTGCCTAGTGATGGGGAAAGAAACACAAGGGAAAACATCCCTCTTTCCATTCTTTTTTGTGCTTTTTTCCTGTTTCTTGTTTTAAAAACTTATTATATTTGAAGCTGAGCACAGTGGTGAATGCTTGTAATCCCAGCAACTTGAGGGGCTGAAGCAGAAGGATTGCAAGTTGGATGCCAGCCTGGACAGCTTAACAAGTCCCTCAGCAAATAAATGAGACCCTCAGAAGATTAGAGGGACCCTGTCTCAAAATAAAAAGTAAAAAGGCCTAGAGATGTAGCTTAGTGGTAAAGTGCCCCTGGGTTCAATCTCCAGTAGAAGATGGTTAATCTTTCAAAACATGCAAGAAGCTGTTGAATAGAACTGGGGAAAACATCGGATGGAGGCTGAGGAGTAGCTTTCTCACTGCAGGCAGGCCTGCCTCAGACGTTCTTCCAACTCTCTGACCTTGAAAGTGTCAGTCTTCCTCCAGAATGTAATGAGTTGTCAAAATTTCATTTTCTTGAGGCAGAGAAAGCTGGAATTTTATCTAAATAGAAGCTATGCTCTCATTGTGAATTGCTGTTTGATTTAAAATTTTACTCAAAAGCATTTAGATTTGCTTTATCTTTGTAACTGAAAAAGGAATAAGAGTGCAATGCTATTGATTAAACTGTACACATAGAAATAATAGATTTGTGTTCTTTATCTGATCCTAACCATGCCTTATGTAGGTGCAGGGCTGTGTAAATTTCAAAGCACTTAGATATATTTATTTTTGCATTGGATTTGGTTAACATTCCTATAGTGTAGAGAGGGTAGGAAATGGAATCAGCATTTGATGTTATAAAAACTTGACACCCGGAGACAAGCAATATTCCTTTGCTCAGAGTTAGGGAATAGTTGGTGAGAGATAGACTTTTTGTCTCCATGATTCCTAGTCTTGTGTTTTTCTCTTGTTCTAGCGTCTTAGAAGGGGATAAGTGAAGTCACTACAGATCTCACATCCTTTTTGGGAGAGGACTCTAAAACCCCAGAGAGGAGTGTGACCTGAGGTTGATTTCCTAAAAAGTGCCAGGGGATTTTTGATCAGCAATTTTGAGATAATTCTATTTGGTGAACATCTCCGCTGAGAGCAATATATTGCACAATCAAATCTTTGGAAACTCAGGCTCATTAATTTTCAGAGTGAAATATGAAAAAAAGGATTTGGTCAGGTACTGAGTGAGGGCAGAGTGCTCCAAGTAGAGGAGATATTTTTGCAATATCCTGTAGGTGACATAGAGCCTGAATCACACAAGGAATGGATTTTTTTTTTGCAGAGTTGAATGGCAGGTTGTAAGGGGAGAGTGGAATGAAGTGAAGCTCAAGAGATAAGCCCTGCCAGATCATTAGGATTCTGGATTGTAAGGCTTAGCGAGAGATGACCAGATTTGTGTTAGAGGCATACAACACAGGCTACTCTGAAGAGGGAGCTCATGGAAGGAGTGTGGAGAGGCAGGAATTTTCATGAGGAAGCATATTTCTAGCACAGGTATGAATGGGGTGGGTTTACTAGCAGTGAGGATGAAGACAAATGGACATATTTAGCAGAAACATCAGGGTTTGTGTAGTGATTGTATGTTGGAATTAGAGAAGGAGGCTTTATGCATAATTGAAGTTTCCATCTTGAACAATTGAGTCAATGATGGTTTCATTTCCAATTACTTGAGTACGGGACACAGAAGAAAGTTTGATTTGGAAGGCTGATGTTTTTGAGAGCTTGTGGCAACGGAGCAGAGTGTTTCATAGGGAGTTTTATGTGTGTGTCTGAATCTCTGAGCTGGTACCATACATTGAAGGGGCACACTGGAGTTCTATGCTGCAACTAAAGAGACAAGATTCACCTTCCTAAACCCTGTTGATCAATTGGAAGATGCTGCAGGAGCAGCATAGTTTTAAATCTCCCTGTGTCCCCCTGTGGAAACAAAGACTGGGATAAAGAGTCCATGATCAACATCTACAATAAAACTAGGTGACCAAGTATTTCTGTGAAACTGAAAATATTACCTGGTAGAGAAAAACCACTGGCAGGGATAAGAACTGCATGAAATGGACAGCCATAATCAGAAGTGAAGGGAAGCCGCAGGACATCTGAAATAGGGATTCAATTAAAAGCTCTAGGGACTGGCAGGTAAAAGCAGAATTTACAATGATGATGAAGACAAATAGGCACTTTCCCTCCAGGATATATAATCTAATATCGGCTACAGATAACTGAAGTTATGGCCACAGTCCAGGGTGATGGTAAAGGTCTAACACTATGATATCGCAGGAATGCAGAGTCTGCTGGAAGGTTTGGAGGGGCTGGGGGAGCCAAAGACCACAAATGTTCAAAGCTCACTGCCCAATGCTCCCTCGAAAATGAAGCTCCACCTGAGGGGCAAGTGCTGGGGGTGAAATTCACACTGAGAAGCTCAGTACAGACAAAGGAAAGAAGATCTAGATAAAAATGGAATGGGAAAGAGAGCCAGGAGATTTCAGAAAGGAAAGTCTCCATATTTTTGAAAACGACACAAAACGACAGATGGAAAAACTCTAGAATGTGAAGTTAGAGAAGTTTTCTTAAAGCACATTTAGAAGTTCAGGAAAACTTATTTCATGTAAAAGTGATCAAGGGGGTGTTTCAAGGTCAAATTCCTATAATATTATTTTATAACAAGAGATAATCAAGGAATGGAAGAACATCACCATAAAGAATGAAAGAACTCCAGGAGGACAGGATACTAAAACAGATCAAGATTCCAGTGCAACAATGTGTGTGTGTATGTGTGTAGTATATGTGTGAAGCATATATATATATATATATATGTATATATGTATACATATGCACACACACATACACACACATATGCGTAAAGCAAATAGAAATTAGATCACATGCAAATATATTTTATGTATTTTTTACCTTGTTAGTAATTATATTTTGAGGATAGTATTGCTATCCTTTTGTCATAACTACTCTGTGTAAATAAAGCAAATTAATCTTTTTATTATATTCACAGTCTATTATTTTGTGTCTGTTAGAATCCAAATTCTTAGTGTAAAATAAAGGACATGCAAATATAAAACAAAGGATGTTAAGTAAAATTCCTGCAGTCTTGAATTTGAATTGGAAATATTAGTATAAACTTCAGAAATAATCCTATTTCTAATTTGAAAATGATTAGAAGCAATGACTAATCCCATAGTCACAAGCATTCCTGAAGTCCAGATGTGATATTTCTTTCAAAAAGGGCAGATTCCAAGTCTGATGCAGGAAATCAACAAAATGAGCCTGGAGCATGTTATCATGCCACAGAGCAAGGAATCTGCCAAAGTCTACCCAAGTCATGACAAAGGGATTCAGGAGCCAACTAGAAAAGGCTCCTATGGCTAGAGCACCGCTTGAGCGCCATAAACCTAACTGAAGTGAGATGGAAACATATCAGTATGTTTAAACCTTGAGTTCATGATACTAAAAAAGTTAATTGTTCAACTTCTGGAGCATGCCAGAAAATCCACCTGTTATTCTGAAAAACCAGTAAAGAAAAAGAAAGAAAAATACTATTGATTGCCCTGGGAAATCATCTCAGATCAAACCATTTCTAAAATGGGTACTAGGGAAAGATTGGGCAGTGCCAAGGTGATCAGATCATGTGATTCATATATTTGTGAATCTTTTTATTTTAAAACATTTCAATTATTTCCCAAAGTACATGTGATATAATAAATAAAAAAAATATTTAAGGAACTTAGAGCAAAGGGGAAATATGAGCAAGAAAAACATGATAAAATTGGGCTAAAGTTTAACCTGCAAAATATAAATCCTGAAATCCTATATGTTTGCTGAGCTTGGAAAAACATTTTATTGTAGGCATTATAGCAAAAAAGGAAAGCAAACACTACCAGCTAACAATTGACATCTCATGTATCCATGAGACAGACAAAAGCAAAGCAAAACAAAAACACAAATGCTCCAAAGCTATTTGCATTAAAATCAAAAGGAAATTCATCCTATGGGTACCGTGGTGTGATGTGGTAAAATATTTTTAAGAACATTTTAAACAGAAATCCAGGGCACCCTCTCAATGTAGGGTTATGGCAACATACCTAACACAATTAGTTTGCAGAGAAAACACAATTCTTTGATACAGGAGTAAAATCTGGATAACTATCTTCTCCATAAGGTCACTAATACATTTGTTTCTTTTCATCTAAAGTTCAATTTAGAAGTTCCTAGCTTTTTCCAGGAGTTTTTGACTGGGCAGGAGCCTGGTGCATATCTCCACTGATGAGTAGGTAGACATCTCCCTCTGCAATCTATTTGTGTTCATAGGATTTCTCTCTCTCTCTCTCTCTCTCTCTCTCTCTCTCTCCTTTCTTCTTTCCAGCTTTCCTTCCTTCCTTTCTTCCTTCTTGCTGTCTTTTGATGAGAGGAGGTAAGGAAGGAGAGTACACCAGGATACATCTTTTTGAAAAGTCAAAGTTACTAGGATATTAGGAGACAGCTAATAGAATGATCCTGGCTGAGATCAGGTGTTAGAGAGGAACCAGAGTCCCACTCCCAGGTTAATCTCATCATCCAGAAGGAATAAGTTTGGTTTGATGAGCTGAAATTCATAGTGGGGTCCACATGGATGTTGGAAGTACAGGGTCCTGAATACAGGGCTTGAATCTCTTCTGGTCACATTTACCCTGGCATTATAGGGAAAAAGCTTCATAGGAACCTGAACTAGAATGATTGGTCACCAGTATCTTCAGAATGAGGAGCCCAGAGATACTTTGGGCTAAGTATCCTGAGACTGAGTGTAACACTTGGAGGAATAAAAGGGATTAGCACATGAGGCTTTCTTTAACCAGCAGTTAGAGAGCAGTGCGTTAAAGGGTTCATCTCTGTACCTGCACGCTTTGTCAATACAACAGAGAAGACTTGACACCTGGGCCAGAATAAGAAGTCCTGAATGTTGTTGAGGTGCCAGGAGATGAAGAATCTCAGGAAGAAACTTTGGTTTTCTGGCTCACCAACAGAATTTGAACATTCCAACAAACTCAATTTGAGTTCGTCTGAGGTCTTCCCATGATTGAAATGAGGCTATGCATTTTTGGAATGAATACCACAAAAGCAATGTTGTGAACTTCCTAGTACATCATGTGGAGTTTCATGATGTTAGTATGTCTTATTAGTAGTGTTATGCTTGGATGTGACATGTCTCCCAAAAGCTCACATGTGAGACAATGCAAGAGGGTTCAGAGGAGAAACGACTGGGTTGTGAGATTCTTAACCCAATCAGTAAATTAATCCCTGATGGGATTAACTGGGTGGTAACTGGAGGCAGGTGGGGTGTGGCTGGAGGAAGTGGTTAATTAGGGGCGTGGCTATGGGGTATACATTTGGTATCTGGAGAGTAGAGCTCTCTGTGCTTCCAGTTCACCGTGATGTGAACTGTTTCTCTCTGCCATCCTCTCCTGCCATGATGTTCAACCTCACCTTGAGCCCCAAGGAATGAAGCCAGCCTTCTATGGACTAAGATCTCTGAATCTGTGAGCCCTCAAATAAACTTTTCCTCTTCTGCAGTTGTGCTCCTTGGGTCTTTAAGTCAGAGCAGCAAAAAAAAAAAACTGACTAAAACAACTAGTAATATTAGTCTTGCTCATTTGATTACTGTATGTGTAAGTCAGGGTTCTCCAGAGAAACAGAACTAATTAGGGAGAGAATACAGGAAAAAGAAGGGAGAAAATAAGGAATTGGATCACAATTATGGAGACTGACATGTTCCAAGTTCTGCATTTGGCAAGCTAGAGACCCAAAAGTGCAAAGACTTAGTTTCAATTCTAAGTCCAAAGACTGGGAGAGCCAGTACTCTCCTGGAAGTTGGCAATGTCAAATTCAATGTTTTCATCTGATTCCAAAGGCAGGTCAAAACCTATGTCTCAGTTTGAAGAAAGTGAGGCAGAAGCAGTCCCTCTGATTGGCTTTTTTTGTTCTAGTTAGGCCTTCAACAGGGACAAGGCCCATCCACACACATTTAGGACAGCAATCTGCTTTATTCTGTCTATCAATTCAAATGTTAATCTCATCCAGGCAGTCTTAAGCATTCAGAATAGTGTTTGACTGAATATCTGGGCAACCTGAGTTCCATTCAATTTGGCGTATAATATTAATTGTCACAAGTGGAATCACCTGGTGGTTTTTCACTGACATTACTCTCACTATGATACTATCCATATACTTCAATCACAAGTGTCAAGACCGTGGAAGACAAGAAAAGAATAAGGAATTTTTACAAATCAGAGAAAACTCAGGAGAAATAACAATTCATTGTAGTGTGTGTTAATGCATAGGATCCTCGAATGGAAAATAAACTTCAGTAAAAAAAAAAAATGGTGAAGTCAGTTTGTCATACATAGTTTAACCAGTAGCTTGTACCAGTGTTAATTTTCATAGTTTGATAATTGCATCAGGTCTATGCAAGATGTTAACATTAAAAAAATGTTATGAGGGATGCATAGATG